AAAAATATGAAACAAAAAGGAACATTTCTTTCAAACCTGAAAGATAATTTATTCTTAACAAGCCTGGAAGGGCCTGGCTGTGGAGGAGCCTTGGGTCGCTGGGCTTCCAGCTTGCTTGCTCTTTTCCGGCCTGGATGTCTGTGAGCCTTCTCCTGCTTCCAGGAGCTATTTCTGCTGCTGCTGCTCCTGCTGCCGCCGGCCCGCCTGCTTGCCACTTCTGGGCTTTGTGCAGAAGTTGTCAAAACCTGCACAACAGCTCCTTGTCCTCTAGCCCCAGAGTCTCTGGGCCACACACTCTTGTGTTGCCAGGTACCTACCCTGCGACTCTGGGGCTTCCTGGATGTGTCCTCTCAGATCAGGACAGCACGGGGCTCACCAGGAGCTTGTCCCAGGGCCTGACAGCTCGGGCAGTGCCCTGGGAGCCCCGGAGCCACTAGGGTCATCGCTGCGGGTGTCTACCAGGGGGAAAGCAGAAAGCTCCATCTCTGTCTACCCTGCTAGGCAAGTGGCTTTTTCCCCCCTGCCTTGAAAATCTGCTACATGCAGCTGTCTCTTCGGAGGTCAATCTTTGTTTCTATCTGCACACACACACACACACACACACACACACATACACGAGAAAAGAATTAGGAAAATGCTTAATGTTGTGAGTGCTTGAAGTCAAAAACAAACAAAAGATGATTGCCAAGGCACTTTTGGGCTCTGTGCATGGCAGGTGATTAAGGCAGTGTTTAGGGAGGAACTGAGGTCTGGTGGACAAACGCGGAGTTCTAACCACAGCCCAGTTATTAGTCCACGGGAAACATCCTGTTACTATTATAAAGATGAAGTGCTGCTTTTCTGTCTCTCTCTCTCTTTTTTTTAAAGAACTTTCTGAAAGTCGTCTTTTCCATTCTGATTCAATTCAAGTCTGTGAGGCAGGAAGGTCTCAGGGCAGCCGTGCCTCCAACATTAGCTAATCAGTCTCCCAAGAAACATTCCATTCCGCTTAGGAGGGTTTTGCAGAATGGTTTGCTCATGGTGGCTTTTAAAATAAACTGAGGGTTGCCAGGCTGAATGGGCTCCCTGCAGGGCTGATGACCTGGTTCTAGCCAGTGCCCAGCAGGCCTGCTTCCTGGTGGGATGTGGACTCCTCATTAACCATGGTTGCCTCTCTTAGTCCCTGTTCTTGGGGGGTGAAGTGCAAAGTCTCGTGTTCTGTCCCTGCCCATTTTTAGACTGGGGACACTGAGGCCCAGGGGAGTAATAAATAAAGGAACAGTAACGGCCAACACATATAGCTTTTATTATAATACCTTAATATTGGCAAGAAAGACAAAGTTTAAGATTCTGGTTTTGCTACTGTAAAGCTGTGTGAGTTTGGATAAGTAACCAAATCCCTCTGAGACTCAGTTTCCTTGTGTGTAAAATACTGCTCATGATTCCTATTCTACAAGATTGTTATAAGCAATAGAAATTATGGGCTAATGCCTAGCACATAGTAGGTACCTGATAAATGGTTTTTATTATTATTAGAGAAAAAGCTCAAGCTAGTTGTAGGGTAAACAGTGTTTTCTTTTAAAAATTATTTATTTATTCGAGAGGCAGAGATACAGGGTGAGAGGAGAGAGAGTGAGCGAGCAAGCAGGAGAGGGAACTTCCATACGCTAGTTTACTCCCCAAATGCCTGCAGTGGCCACCAATGTCAGGACTGAGGGCCTCAATCCAGGTCTCCCACATGGGTCACAGGAACTTGACCCATCACCTGCTGCTTCCTAGGGTGCTCATTCGTAGGAAGCTGGAATCAGGAGCCAGAGCTAAGGTCTGAACTCAACTGGGATGTGGGCATCCTAACTGCTGTCCCCAGAGGGTTTTCCTGATAGCAAGAATTAACTGCAGAGCTGGTTAGCAACACAGGTTCCCAGTCCAAGGCAAGGCATGGTTCTCTATATGTGGACAAGCTCCTGGGTGAATCCTACCCACCATTTGGGATGCACCCAGGAACCCACCTTTCCGCCCTGTTGGTTTGGCTCTTTTGTTGTTAATGCATCCGGCCTCATAGCCCATAACATTTTAGCCTTTGCATTAAGTGGACATGATTGAAAGGACAAATATCCCTCTACTATGTGTTCTCAAGGTGCACGTGTCCTGAACTTTGCATAGCTTTGTGCCTGACGATCTCTTTGCAGATGGAGCTTGTTGTCTGTTGTGAGAGCAGACATATATTTAGTATCTCTATTATTCAAAGGAATGCATTTAATTTAGTTAAACAAATATTTTCTGAGTGACTGGTGCATGCCAGGGATACAATGATAGACAAGACGAAGGCCCAGCCTTCAAGTGGTTTTCACTCGCAGTCCAATGAGGAAGATGGCTGAATAAACAGGCAATGAAAAACTGCGATAGGGGTTGCCAGTGTGGAGTGGTGGGAGTTGCTGTCACTTGCAACACTGGCATCCCATATTGGAATGCTGGATTGAGTCCTGGCTACTCAGCTTCTGATCCAGCTTCCTGCTATCACACCTGGGAAGGCAGCAGAGACTGGCCCAAGTCCTTGGGTCCCTGCCAACCATGTGTGAGACCAGGATGGGGTTCCTGGCTCATGGCTTTGGCCTGACCCAGCCCTGGCTGTTATGGGCATTTGGGGAGTGAGCCAGCAGGTGAAAGTGCTGTGTGTGTGTGTGTGTGTGTGTGTGTGTATGTCCTTCTTTCTCTGTTGCTTTGCCTTTCAAAGAAATAAACCTTAGACAAAACTGTGGTTCAAGTTAAGGGCGCTATGGATGGATGGAAGGGTACCTGGGAAGCTGTAGCTAGGGTAAGTGACGTCTGAAGAAGAGTCACGTCACCTCAAATTTGGTCTCAAATCCTTTGGTGAAAGGAATGTCCGTCCCCGATCGTCTTTGTGGAAAACTCAGCTTTCACGTGCTACCCCTGGATACTTTTCCACAACCATGCATCTGCACTAATACTGCATTCCTGCAATGGGCAAGGCACAGTGAGATGCTGCAGGACAGCCAGGGTGAGGGGGGCCCAACCCCTGCCCCCAGGGAGCTCACGCCACACCTACTCACGTTGAACTTCATTTCTCATGTAGGTCGCTAAGCCGGTGTCATCTGTTCACGACTGAAGAGGTGAGTTACCTCCCTTTGTTCAAACTGCCTGTCTATTTTGCTTCATCATCGCGCAGGAGGGAGATCTGGTTCCAGGCACCACGTATGCCAGGGCCTGCACTTTATCCAGGAGAAAATCAGTGCACAGAAGAGCTCCCGAAGTGTTTGCGATCCAAGGTCTGAGTCTGCTGAGACCTGGGTGGGTCTTTGGGGTCTGGGGCAGCCTGCCCGCCTGGTCGCATCTGACTTTCCTTTCCTCAGGTCACCACAGACGCGGACACCTTTTCAACACCTGTCTCTACCGCAGGAGGGGAGGAGGCAGGGAGGAACAGAATCCTTACTGGATTATGATAATTACTTAATGCTTAAGCAAAAGTTGACAAGGTGTGTAAGTCAACAGGTGAGGTTCCTCTGTCTGCTGTCCTTGTCCCTGTGTGCAGCCTGGATCCTTTGAGACTATTTCTGTCTTGCAGATTGGGAACCTGGAGCCCCAGGTACCTGGAGGCCAGCATGGCACCTGGCGGCCTGCTCCTCACTGCACACAGCTCCAACCCAGCCTCCTTTTTCTTTTTTTTATTTGAAAGAGTTACACACACAGAGAGAAAGAGAGGCAGAGAGAGAGAGAAAGAGGTCTTCTATCCACTGGCTCATTCCCTAACTGGCTGCAACAGCTGGAGCTGCGCCCAACAGAACCCATGAGTCAGGAGTTTCTTCTGGTTCTCCCACAGGGGTGCAAGAGCCCAAGGACTTGGGCCATCTTCTACTGCTTTCCCAGGCCACAGCAGAGAGCTGGATCGGAAGTGGAGCAGCTGGGACTTGAACCGGCGCTCATATGGGATTCCGGCACTGCAGGCAGAGTCTATACCTGCTTTGCCACAGCGCCTGCCCCCAACCCAGCCTTCTTATCCTGGGCTTCAAAGTCACCCTCTGTTCAGAAGCCAGGCAGAAGCACCTGCCTCCTGGGTTATGCTAAATTGCTCCCACTCCCTGAGACACCACCCCTCTATCTGCCTGGTGATATTCAACCCACCCTTCAAAGCCTTCTCAGGTATTGCCGGCCCTCCATTCCCTTGTGTCCCCTCTGAATTACTCTCTCCCCTGGACTGATCTGACTTTTCCCCTCTAGACTTCTCCTTGGGCAAGTGGCCCAGCCTCCCCGAGACCCTCACTTCCCTCCTCTGTGCTGGGGCCAGCGGTTTCTGCGTTCCCTTTTAATTCCTTTCAGATCATGGGCCTCATTGACAGGCCCATAGAAGCTTCCAGAAGTGCTAACGCACCCGGAGGATCACTGTGTAGCACGAAGATGCCTAGGACTTTCCGGGGAGTCCCATTTAATGGCCAGCTAAGCCTGTCTCTATAGGTACTAGTGTTGTTATTTCACACGCGAGGCACCGGAGGCGCAGGAAGGTGAAGTGCCTCCCCCGGGGGTCACTCCTGCCTGCTGGACAGGCTCCTCCGCCATCTCTCTCGGCCTCCCCGGCCAGGGGACCGGGACAATACAGCACCCAGCCCATCTCCGGCAGGTTCAGAGTCCACGCAACCCTCCCCAAGCCCATCCAGGGCCCACGCGTTGCTGTCTGCAAGCAGGCCGGGCCGTGCCTTCGTCCCAGGTCCGCGGCCAACAGCTGGTGACCCAAACCCCCCGGCCGCGGAGCCAGCATCGCCGGCGCGTGGCGGCGCCGCAGCCGAGCCGCGTCCTGGTCCCGAGCCCCAGGAATGTGGGAGGGCTGCACGGAGGGGCCGGCCAAGGCGCGGGCGCTTCCTCAGCTCGCCCGAGGGGAGCCGCCAGGGCGCGCGCGGGGCGCGCCGCCGCCCCCTCCCCGCCGCCCGGCCGGCTCGGTGGGGGCGGGGGCCGCGGCGCGAGGGCGCGAGGGGCCGCGGCGCTGTGCAGCCGCCCGGCCGGCCGGGGCGGGAGGAAGCGATGAATATTCAGAGGGGGAGGGGAGGAGAGGCGGCCGAGCGCTCGCCGCGGCTCCCTGCAGCCCGAGCCGCATGACGCGCGGAGGAGGCAGCGGGAGCGGCGCGAGCCGCGGGAGCCGGGAGCAGGGGGCCGCGCGCGGGGGGTGGGCGCCGCTCGCTCCGCCCCGCGAAGCCCCTGCGCGCCCAGGGACGCCGCCCCCCCGCCGCAGCCGCGCCGGGCCCCGCCGTGTGGCCGCCGCCACCGCCACCGCCGCCGCTGCCATGTCCCCGGGGAAGCCCGGGGCGGGCGGAGCGGGGACGAGGCGGACCGGCTGGCGGAGGAGGAGGCGGAGGCGGCGGCTGGAGGCGGCGACGCGGGAGCCGGGGCTGTGGCGCACGGCGGGGCCCGATTCGCGCGTCCCGGGCACGTTCCAGGGCGCGCAGGGCATGAAGCCGGCGGCGCGGGAGGCGCGGTCGCCTCCGCGTTGGCCGGGGCTGCGCCGGGCGCTGCCGCCGCTGCTGCTGCTGTTGCGCCTGGGCCAGGTAAGCCACCGGGTGGGCCCGGGCGGGGCCCGGGACCGGCATCCCCTGCACCTGCCCGGGTGTACCCCGATTGGGGGGCCCCGGGGAAGGTGGTAAGGGGGTGCGGATCCTCGGAGTCTCCCTCGTGGAGCGAGCTTGCCGGTGGTGGTGGTGGTGGGGACCCCAGCCGGCCTCGCGCGCGGGCGGCTGAGCTCCGTCCCCGGCTGTCTGGTACCAAGGGGAGGGCAGAGGGCCCCGGGGTCCCCGGGGAGCCTGCAGCCTCCCGGTGGCAGCCCCCGCGCGGGCTCTGGACGGTCTGTGGCTCGGCCCTGCCCGGAGCTGGTCCCATCTGGCCAGCGCGGGCCCGGCTCGCGCGCGCCAGGCGGCCGGAGGGGGCGTGTTTGCGGAGGGCTCTGGACACAGAGCACTGCCGGCCTGGCCAAGCCGCGGCCGACCTCCGACCTGGCCTGCAGGGGCCCGAGGGGCCGGGCCGAAGGGCAGCGTCGGCCGCCCCGGGGGCGCCGGGACTGGGCTGCGGGGTGGTGGGCGAGGCGCCGTAGCCCCGAGCCTGGGGCGCTGTTTTTGCGGAAAGTTCCCAGGCCCGGGGCCGCGCGCAGGCGTTCCCCAGGGCAGCCGGCCTGTTCCCCTGTCTCCCCGCGGGGATCCGCCGCTGGCTGTCCCCTCGCTGAGTGCGCGCTCTGTGGACGCCGGCTGCCCCCCAGCCGCCTCGATATTTCAGCTATTGCTGGGGCTGGTGTTTTGGGGACTGGCAGTTCCCGTGGCGGTGGGAGGCGAGGCTGGGGGGCGGGGGGACGTTCCCATTTCTCAGATAGGGAACTGAGCGAGAGAAGTGAAAGAGCGGAATCACCTAGTGCCGCTCTGCGCCCGAGCTGAGCCAGCGGCTCCGTGCCCGCCGCCTTCCGGGAGCTGCCCGGGTCTTGAGCGCGCCGGGGAAGGTGGCGCGGGTGATGCCCCCGCGCGTGAGAATCTGCCTTGTTGGATGCAGACGCCGGCTCTCCCTGCGATGGGAAGCCGGGGAAGGCAGTTATTGGCTGGCTTCAGGGGGAAACTTTGGACGCACGAATGCAGGGTTGTCTGAGAGAAAAAACAAAACAGAACAAAACATCAGCCCTGGGGCAGCAGTGCAGTCCTGGGAAAAGGACGGGAAGGAGCTGGCGGCCGCTTGCAGGGTCCCCAACAGGCGCTCCACGGGTTGTCTTGAGGGCCTGGAAGGCGGAGGGACTTCCTGCAGAGGGCACTGAACTGGACGAGGTGTCTGAAGGCAGGGCCAGGGCCGACCATCAGCGTCCTACCACGCTCAGTGAACAGCATCTGTGGAATGGGTGTGACTCCACCTGTCTGATAGAATTGTTCCGGGAGCTTCCATCCGTGCGAGGGCTGGAAGGGCTTTGTAAACACCAGAGGGTGTCCAGATGGGTTATCATTAAGGGTAGTGAACGTGAGCTTTTATCCTTGTCCCTGTGAGGAAATTCAGGGAGGGCCCTCTAAGAGGTTAGAAAGAATTGCCTATAGTTTCGGATCTCTTGTACCAAAGTTTGCACTCAAGAACCACCTGGTTCATTTATTTTTAGTTTAATTTGGTACATGTATTAATTTTTTTTCTTTTGACCCCAGCCATATAATGGTTGCTAGCTGTGCTTTGAATCAGCACAAAATTTCTTGGGTAAATTTATTTCTTGCCCAATCCTTCCTTGTATTTCATTAGCATCCTGCTACTCCACACTTGTCATATATTCTGATATTTCCTTCCTCTCTGGTTGGTTCTGTAGGAACTCAGCACAGCTCTGTTTCTTGTTTTTGGATACATGATGAAATATTGGGCTCTCTGAAGAATCATTTCTTCATTTTAATACTGGATATTTTCCAAGGAATCGTGCAGTTTTGAGCTGGACCTGCCTTCCAGGATAGCTCTAACGCCCCTGAACTTGAGAACCACAGAAGACAGGGAGCAGTCCAAGGTCACTAGGGAAGCCAGGATGCTGGAGCCAGGGACGCTGCTTGTCCCTGGTCTTGTCTTTTTTTTTTTTTTTTTTTGAGCCGTGCCTTCACTTTGCTCTTTTAACCATAGGCACTGTGTTCCTAACATGTGAGTGTAAATCAAGTTTTTAAAATCGAATCATATTTGTGCACTTTTTCCCCTTTGAAGTTTGTTTAGAAAATGAGAGAAAATATACTGTTTCCCTAACTGTTGATTGGTTTAGTGAGGCTTGGAGAGAGAGAAAGAGAGAGGGAGAGAGGGAGAGGGAGAGAGAGGGAGAGTGTGTGTTTTAAGATGGACTCAACCATAGTAGGTTGAAAAAAGACACAGCTCCGTTTGGATGTTGATGAGGACGGGGTCTGGAAGCTGGGAGCTGAGATACTGGACGACTCAGTACTTAGTCGGCCTGGGAAAGCCATTTTTGACCCTGGCATCTCGTTCCTGTTCTCCCACACAGGAAGGATGGTCAGAGATGATTCTAGCCCAGGGACTTTGCTGGTTGCAGTATCTGACCCCACCCATTCTTGCAGCATTGTGCACACTTGTTTGGGTTTGTGTGTGTGTGTATGTGTGTGTGTATGTGTTAGGCAGTGTGACGAAGCAGCCCCCACCCCCTCTTCTGACAGTCTTCAAGAAATCAGCGTGACATTTGAGTTGCCTTAAAATGGAAAATGAAAAGCTGGTGACTGATGGCTGTTTTCTTCCTCTTACAGGGTTTTGGTTTGCAGTTTCTTTGCTTTCTTGCTTCCTGGTGAATAATAACTATGTTTATTATCTCTTATAGCTAATCTTTAAGCCTCATTCCTTACCTGCTTCACCCAGAGTACAAAAAATATTTTGCCTCCTCTTTAAACTGCTTGTTAAATGCTCATAGGGGCAACTTAAATATTTTTGCTTAGCTTCAGAACGGAAAAACCAAATGCTTATGTTTTGTTTGCAGACAGTTTAAGAAAACAGAGCAGATTGGTTTATGGTTAGCCGGTGACTTAGAGCTAACTTCAAGTTCAGGCCCATGATAGAGATAACCACGGAATACCCAAGCTTTCCTAAGTGGGGAGAATCCTGGCTTCCGAGTGAGCAATTTCGGTCAGCAAAGAGGTTATTTAGCTCCTAAAAGTAATTTTTGCTTGGGGTTGAGGCTGAGGCCCAGGAGTTGCTGTAGGCCTGGGTTGAGCCAGTGCCTTGTTGGTAATTACTTCTTAGTCCATTCACTTCTTGGCCAAGGGAGTTATTTTGAGTGTAGGATAAGAGGCAATTTTCTGTGTCTTTCCCTTCTAACATAATGCTGTGGATAGTATAGAATTAATAGGTGACATTATGTGTGGCAGGCATTGTGTTGAGAGCTTTAATGCCTTTTCTCATTGGACCATTTCAGACCTGCTTGGAGGTAGGCACTGTTCATGTTCCGCTTTTATGTGAGAGAAAGCTGAGTTTCAGAGCTCGCCCAAGTCCTCGCTAGTGTGGGATGCAGCCAGCTTTGTCTTTTCCGCCCCAGTCTGTTGTCCTTTGCCTTAAGACGTCCCGCGTGTTGGTGAAGGTTTTTGGTGTGCAGCCAAGGGATGGGGCGGCAGACTGTGGTGGCAAGAAGTAGGTTTGGGGGAGGGCAGAGAGTGTGTGGGTTCATCGCTTCCTACACCCTGTAGGATCACCCCACTGGTAACAGGCACAACCCCAACACCCTCTGGCCTGCTTGTGTATTTTGTGGCCTGAGTTGATGAGGCATACCTGCCTTAGTGGAGACAGTTTGAGGTCTGGAATGGAAAGACTTGGGTTTGGGTCCTTGCTCTGTCCTGTAGTAGCTACATAAACTTGGGCAAGTTCCCTCACCTCTGTGACTCCTCCTTTCCTTATCTGGAAAATGGGACTAATACTTCCGGTTTCACTGGGTAGTTGAGGGGCTCGAATGAGATAGAAGAGGAACTGCCACGTTAAACCTGACGCACAGTCCCATTGCCAGTGGCGGCTGTGGCTGTAATTTGGGGGAGGAGAAAGGGGGCTTCAGAAAGTTTATAGAACAAAGTGTTTTTAAAGTTTTGAAAATATCTATTTTTATTTGTTCGAGAGAGCGAGAAGGAGACAGAGAGAGAGAGAGAGAGAGAGAGTGGTTCATTCCCCAAATGCCTGCAACAGCCTGGGATGGGCCAGACTGAAGCTGGGAGCTGGCAACTCAGTCCAGGTTTCCCACATGTGTGACAGGGACCCAAGGATTTGCACCATCACCCATTGCCTCCTGGGTGTGCATTAACAATGAAGGTGGGATTGGGAGCAGAGTCAACATTGGAATCCAGGCACTTTGGTAAGGGACACAGGATACTTGACTGATGACTTTTTTTTTTTAAAGACTTATTTATTTATTTGAAAGAGGTAGAGAGAGAGAGAGAGAGAGAAAGAAAAAGGTCTTCCATCCGCTGGTTCACTCCCCAAATGGCTGCAATGGCTGATCTGAAGCCAGGAGCCAGGAGCCTCCTCCAGCTTTCCCACATGGGTGCAGGGGCTCAAGCACTTGGGCCATCCTCTGCTGCTTTCCCAGGCACATTAGCAGGGAGCTGGATTGGAAGTGGAGCAGCCGAGACTCGAACCGGCACCCATATGGGATGTGGGTGCTGCAGGCCAGGGCTTTAACCCACTGTGTCACAGCACTGGCCCCTTGACTGGTGTCGTACCCACTGGGCCAAACACCTGCCCTGTGGGACCAGTATTTATGCAGAGTTTCCCACAGAGTGGTGCAGAGTAGTCCTGGGCATGCACAAGATGATCTTAGCGCGGATATAATACATGATTTATTTATTTATTTGAAAAGTGGAGTGAAAGAGAAAGAGATCTGCTATCCACTGGTTCACTCCCCAAATGGCCCAACAGCCAGGGCTGATCCAGGCTGAAGCCAGGAGCCAGGAACTCCATCCTGGTCTCCCAGGTTGGTGATAGGGCCTCAAGTACTTGGGCCACCACCTGCTGCCTTCCCAGGTACATTAGCAGGGAACTGGATCAGATACGGGATACTGGAGTAGCAAGCTGCAGCTTA